GTGCTAACAACTATCGAAGGTTGTGTTCCTCTATCGAGTTTAAACAATCAACGTAACGTATTCGTATTATTTATCGTTCCGTATATATATATATATATTATAAGTGTTTCAAGGATATAACGTTTTTCGATTCGAAGACGGGAAGAGCGGGAAGGGGAAGAGAGCAGCGAGCCTTCTTGCACTCGTTTTGTTAAGTCACGAACGTCGAAGAAAAGTTACGTTGATCCGTAACTTGAAATTTTCCCTCCATTCGATCCGAATCGTTAAGTTTTTTTTTTTTTTTTTTTTTTAACTTTTCGACGGGAATTTATTTAAACGTATGATAACGCGGTTAAAACGCGTTATTCGTTTCGTGCCTCGCATTTTTTCGCACACCTCGTATTCACGGGAATTCGTTCGGTAAAATGATAAACGTGGATTTTCGCGATTCGCGGAACACGTTCGAACGAATGCAGAAATATCGGGATTCGAGATTTAGAATAAGTAGAACGAAGAGTATTCTTCTCTATTCGTGTCCAATCCGCGTTTCGTTCGATACAAAATTCAATCGTAACTCGATAAATAAATGGTAAAAGTCTCCACCGATTATTTTTACTTTCGTTTCGATTTCTAGAATCCTCGAAACGAGTCCAAGTTTTAAAAACTTTGAGAAAAGAAGCGAAAGGAAGTCGAGTTTGAAATTTTTTTTATCTCCAAGAAAGAAGATTAAGTTAATAAAATAATATTATTGAAGTTAAAGCGGGATTCACGAATTTTTCCTTATCTGAAACGTTTTCGAAGGATCTCCTCGCGACATTTAGACGCTTGCGGTTGGCTGCACTGGCCTCGCTCGCGCACATGCACCTCCGGCCTTATTATGTCGCGTTCCTCCGTGAATTTCGCGCCGCACGACACCGAAAGGGAAAGAGAAAGAGAATAAGCCTTATCTATATTTAGATAAACGATACCCCGGACGGTGCAACTATAAATTACGAGAAATCCCGCGGAATTCTCTCTAAAATGTACGTATATACAAGCCTGTTAACGAACCCTTTCTCATTTCCCCCTTTTTTTCTCCTCTCTCTCTCTCTCTTGCTTCTCCCTTTTCTTCTCTCTTCCATCGTTGATGTAATCTTTCGAGGCAGCGAACCGCGAGGATTTAAATTGGAGGAAAATTTTCGATTACGTTACCGTTATTATAGAAAAAAAAAAAAAAGAAGGAGAAGAAAAAAAATTTTCCTTCGATCACGAAAAACGTGGGCTGGAAGATTGGGTTAATTAGTCCTCTTTGCTCTCGAAACTTCTTCTCTATTTTTTTCGAAAAATAAATATTCCACGCGTTTGTTTTTAAAGAGCTTTGAGAGTTGGGGAAAAAGACTGTGCACAGTGATCTTTTCAGGGATCTAGAATCAGGTT